GTATCCATACGACGTGGGGAACTCTGTGCCACCACTTAACCCTATCCGTACGTCGTGTTTTACTATCGTATCCATACGACGTGGGGAACTCTGTGCCACCACTTAACCCTATCCGTACGTCGTGTTTTACTATCGTATCCATACGACGTGGGGAACTCTGTGCCACCACTTAACCCTATCCCTACGTCGTGTTTTACTATCGTATCCATACGATGTGGGGAACTCTGTGCCACCACTTAACCCTATCGGTACGTCGTGTTTTACTATTGTATCCATACGACGTGGGGAACTCTGTGCCACCACTTTCCAAATAGGAAATTTACTCGTTAATCCGATCCGTATGCTTTGCATAGCAGTCTGTCAAAATGATTTTTTGAGAAATACTGTAAGTTTCAAAGAGATCTTTGCACTGGAAGTATTCTAAAATGTGAAGAATACAACCTGGGGGTACAAAATGACCCCAAGGCGTATGGATAGGGTTTAGGACACGCGGAGATTTCGGGGGTTTCCAGAAATCTTGACCTACACCAAAAGTGGGCATTGCTCTACCTATAGGAGAAGTTTGGTTTCATTGGGATATATTTGTTTGGTCATAGAGAAAAATCTTGTCATTTAAATAAACTGAACAAATGTCCATAAACTTTACCTTCGATTTACTCAAAACAGTATTTTTCTGGATAGCCCACTTGTGCTTAAAAGCGACCAATTATGTTGACCAAAGATGTTGGTCCTCTTCTAGGAACACACGCGTATTCCTCCTCCTCCTCCTCCTCCTCTTCCTCCTCCTCCTCCTCCTCCTTCTCTTCCTCCACCTCCTCTTCCTCACAAGAATACTTCTTCAACCCAAAATCTTTTTATCAACTTCTTTAAACAGCAATCTGATTTCGGAACCTTGTATTTGAAATGAAGCAGGACTTGAACTACATTTTGCCTGATGTCAAAACTTTCTCCATCATTTAAAAGTTGCATTTGTCTAAAATAGCAACAACAGGCGATTTTAACGGACCATTAGCTCGAAAGTTCAACGTTAAAGCGGTATAAAAAAACAAACATAAAAAACAACTAGCGAAGCCCATATAAATGTGACCTTCCCCTGACATTACAAACTGTCCCTCCATTCCTGGTTACTCGAACTTATACTCTAAGGTATGGAATAAACACCCCCCCCTCCCCTTCACTTATTAATTATTAGTTTTTTTGCGC